TGACTCTGTCTGCACCACCAGGAGTGGCAATTTCTCCCTGGGTAATTCTCAGACTTTCTGATGCTCAGCCTCACTGGGCTCCTGCTCRTCCCCTCCCTCCCAGGGCAGCTCCCTGTGTTTTATGCATTTGCTCAACAGCCTTCCCCTGGCCCYGGTGCACTCTATGGCAGGCATTATGCGGCACACGGAGACCCAGAGTGGACCAGAGAGCCCACCCCAGATCTCGGGGGGGCTCACTGTCTGGCTGAAAGGACAACAGATTTAACCAAAGATGTGGGAACCCCCATGGTAAAGAAGCCAACCCCAAGTGACTGAGAAGCATAGGGAGAGACCCCTATTGTGACCTGGGCTGGACACAGGTGTAGGAGGGACAAAGAAAGCATTCCAAATGAGGTGACAATTGAACTGAGTCTTGCAGACAAGTAGCTATACAGAGAAGAGAGCACAGATGTCACTCACAAAAGAGAGTGATATATGCAATAGGAGGAAGGGACCCAACAGGTTATTATGGTCATTGTGGACTGGCAGGAGATGGACTGGTGATCAGGGAGGAGGCAGGTCCCCAAAAGCAGTGCATAGTGTGAGAGGGTGTTGGACTCCATCCCCAGGGTGGTGGGGAGTCGCTGAAATGTGTGATAACATTCTATTAGGGAACTTGTAGCCTGGTGGCAGAATGAAGGTTGGGAGTCAGAATTACCTGAGGTGGAGAAACTATTGCAGTAATCTTGGTCAGAGTTGACGAAGACTGAGTTGTGACGGAGAGAGACCATGCTCTTTCTCTCGACCAGGGGCCTTTGCCTGTGCTTTTGTCAGCCATAGTACATGGTTAGTCATTTTGGCGCATATGGTACTTGCAAGAATATGAGAAATACTGTCCCCACAAAGAATCTAACAATTAAGAACTATTATGATATTCAGGAAACTGAGGCTCAAAGAACTTAAATAGTTGCCCAAGTTCCCATGTACCAAAAAAAAAAAAAAAAAAAAAAAAAAAGAATAGAGCCAGGATTTAAACTTAACCTCTGCACTTATATTCTCCCTTAGCTCAATTCTAGAGAATTCCTATGAATTATCCACCATTTGGAAATGGCTACATGGCAGAGAAGAGCCTGGGATGGCACTGTCCAGTAGAAGTAAAATATGAGTCACAAATGCAAGCCACACTTGTCATTTTAAATATTCTGATGACACATTAGAAAGTAAAAGGAAATAGTTTTTGATAATTTATTTTACTCTACCCAATGTAGCCAAAATACTGTCATTTCCATTGAAATCAATAGTAAATGTTGCTGAGATCATTTGCATTCTTTTCTTTGAAACCCAGTGTGTATTTATGCTCACATAGAAGTCCTTGGGATAGCATAAGACTCCATGACTTCTAGGTTTCTGCTGTGGGCATTTTGGTAAATGGTAGAAGCATTTCCTGATATAAGAGAACACAGGTGGAGTTTGAAATGCTTGTGAAGCTCATAGGCAGAGACTCCTACTCTCTGGGTAGTTGTGTTTCTCAGCGAAAAAGTCTGGGTAGAGATAGACATTTGGGGTCTGTACCAGTAGATGTAGATGGTTGTCAAAATCCTGAGTAAGAAAGAACCAGCCCAGAGAGATAACCTCAAAGGACTGAGCTCAGAGACACACAGAAAGGGCTGAGGTGCCTTGCCTGGTGGGTTCTTCTGCAGCCCCAGGGGATGGGAAGAAAGGAGGACAAGGTGAGAATGGGCACAGGAGATAGTTTGTGCAGGTGAATGGGTGGGGGAGACAGGAAGTGGGTGGCTTTCTAACAGAATGTTGCCTGGTGGTTCATGCAGCCCATTTAATTTTCTTTCTTCTGTTCCATAGAGAGGGAACCCTCACTTTTATCCCTGACAGCTCACAAAATCTACATATGAAAAGAGCAGGACAAGACAAACAAAATGGAAGTATTTATCTAGCCAGGAACCAAAACCAAGATGAGCACTATTTCTCCATTAGCCACGCCACTCATGCCCTTTTTTCTTCCTCTCACTCCTTAAACTTTTCATTTGGAAGTAATTGCAGATCCACAGGAAGTTGCATGTATAGTAGAGAGAGGGTCCTTCCATTCATCACTTTACCCAATATAGCCAAAATTCTGAAATCTGTGTGCAGACACCTAACCATCACCAATGGTGACTCTTGTATAGTATCAAAGCCAGGCAACTGGCCTGGGCCTGGTATCACTAACTAGGTTTCTGTCTCATTTGCTACTTCCTAACTCAAAGTATTCGGAGTCAAAAGAATCAAAATGATGTAAGAAATGAGGTTCAGCCAGGTCAAGAGCTTTGTGTGTATCCAGGGGATTTTTAATCCCCGTAATGAAATGGCATGCATCAACTAATGAAAAGCCACCTAAACATTCAGGACAAAAGTCCCTTCTTACAACCATGTGTAATTTGCACAGTGTGATGTTGAAAGCCAGAGGCAAGAGTCGGATTCAGAGAATAGAGGAATTGAAATATTAATTCCTTCAGAGCCCTTCCTCCACCCTTATCAAGATAACCTGCCCCTGTTCCAACCTGTTGCTAAGGTAACCTGTCTCAGGGATTGTCCCTTGGTACAGGGAGTTGTTAATTACGCCCCCTTCCTGCYCAGATGGCTCCAACTTGGCCCCTGTGGCCCATCTGCGTCTCATCTCACAATTTGGCCATCTCACGGAGCATCTCCTGGGCCTAGTCACGTAGGCAGGAAGGAGAAAGATAAGGGGAAGAGAGCAGTACAACAAATGAAGCCTAGGACATATAAAAAGGCAAAACACCCTTGCTTCTTGGGATGTCAGGATTCCAACTATGCCCCCCACCTTATATAGTACCAAAGCCAGGCAACTTCTCCCTCCTCACTTATAAATATATAAAACCTACCCCTTTTAAAATAAACCCTGCTTTATATGCYTGCCTCCTCCTGCTTCTCTAGTGTTGTCCTTCAGCATGTGAGGGAGCAGGACTCGTCACCGGTAACCAGCGGTATCAATGTGGTTAGATGGGGCTCTTCATTGTCTGCTTGGCTTTATCTCATTATGGTGAACAGACTGTCTGTGGTCCCCATCAGTATCTACAATGAGGACAACGAGGCGCAGGAGAGAGATGTGCGTTTTGTTTGGCTATGCAGCCTGGCCTTGCTGACTGTGAAACAYAAGGTCCAGTTAGGAACCAGGAGCTCTTGGTAGATGGTCACATCGGGCCTCTGTCTACACAACAGAAAACCGCTAGTTTAGGAGGGAGCTAGCTTTCAGCTGGGTGACTTGGTCACCCAGCTTTCAAATGAAGAGAATTTCAGAGGAACCCAGGGCACCTCAGTAAGTGTCAGGGATTTAACTGAATCTGYTTGCTAAACAATCAGACCTGAAGGAGTTAGGCACATTCCTCAAAAGCAGAATCAAACAAAGAGAGCAATGAGAAGTCCCTTGGCTTCAAGGGAATAAATGTCAATGAGAAAGAATTAAGCCAACTCGAAGAGCACGGTCCAGCTGCCACGGTTCAGCCAGATGAATGACCCATTTGTCAGCAGACAGTGAGACAGCTCACTGTGTTTTCACAGCAAGTGGTAATTTGCTAACAGGTAAATACAAAGTGACTTTCTTTTTCCCTTGGAGATACATGAACTCTGGTTCTCAAAAAATAGCATATCTGGCAAGAAAGCAGTAGACAGGAAAAAAAAAAAAAAAAAAGCCCTAAACCAAAACCCAAAAACAAACCAGGTGCTTCATCCATTAAGATTCAAAAAGCAAAGGAAAGACATATTTCTGGTAGCTTGGTAAAAGGGGTTTGGCCTTGACAATTTCTGGGCAGCTGGAGGAGGAAAAAATTGAGCAGGATTCRGTTGGATCTGGGTGGCCGGATGCCTTGAGGCAAAGCAATCCCTATAAATGACATTTCTCCTCCCTTGGTCCCTCACTTATTTTGGGCACCTGTATTTTGCCTCCAATGTCTTTGTGTTCTGGATCTGTGTGAACTGTGATCAAATAMAGTTTGGTGGATTCAGGAAGATAGGCACGAGGACATTTTGTAGTGGTAAAGACAAACTATAGGCTGAAGGGGACAGGCCTGAGGGAAGAGCCTCTTTACCTTGTTGTAGCCACTGGGCAGCGTCCATGGCTTTCAAGGGGTGAAACTAAATAGCATGCATGTGACAGAGGTGGAAAAACAGCTGGAATCAGCTTAGCTCTATCAAATAGTCAAGGGTGAGAAAATAAGTCATGTCTTTGATTGACTGTCCCTGCCATGACATGACTTCTATTATCAATATCCCCTGCAATAATGCAATTTGGGTATTCCTCTCCGACCCTGGCCATTTGTTTGGGGCTCAGGAGACACAGCCAGAGTTTTGCAATCTGTGCAGTTGTTTAACTAGACCCTGCTCTCCAGTGTGACAATAGGAACGCCACCAGATGTGATTGACATGCGCCTCCTTTTTTCAGCTGTTTAAATGTGAGAAATTCCTCCCGCATCCAGTCCTTTGCAGGAGACTATTTTTATCTGGATCTTTCAAACCCAGCTCCCAGACACATCACAGGAATTCCCACCAAAGTCCCACAAGTCAGTAATGAAACAAACCCACGGCCAGAGGGATCCGCGCACATGCGCGACAGACAGGGTGGTGGGCCCTGGACCACAATGTTCCCTGCCGTCACTTTGAACTGCAGAGAAGCTAAGTGGGGGCAGCATGGCCGACAGGACAGAATGAAAATGTGCTCAACATCGCATCTGGTTTCTCTTCTCTTTTCAGAAGTGAACATGAAAAAGAGAGAGAGAAGCAAAGAGGGAAAATGAGGAGAGACAGGGCCCCTTCTGGGGAAAATGATTTTAGTCCTGAATTCTCTCCACTGTGCATTACACCTCTGGAAGCCAGTGACCGTCTTTGCTGAGCACTGGGTGACATGCTGGGTTTGATCCAGGCTGGAGCCAGGCAACGGGTGGCAGCTTCTGCCTCAATCTTTCTGCGTCTCCCTTCCCCATTCCAATCACGATAAATATATTTATACTCACTTGATCATGTCAGCCAGACAATGCTCCTTAATTGGCAGTGATCAGGGTTCCAGAATTGCTTGGGCAAACCTGCTGTCTCGCTATCAGGCAAAGCGATAAGGGGTCGCTAATGCAGTCCCCGTTAACAATTTCCAACGGAATAAGAAGCAATCCCTCGACTCATGCATGGCAATGAATTTTCCAAACAGCTCCTAAGAGCCAGCCCTTGAGGAACTCAGACTTACGTGAACCTGCCCAGCATAGAATGCTTTATAAATCTCCCCCACCCCCACTCGTGCACATAGAGAAAACCATAGCCACTTCCTTCTGCTGGAGGTTCGTTTGTTCTTTTGCACCCCCCACCTCTTTTCCTTTTATTGGGTTTATGGAGCTAACTGTCATTTTTGGTTCTTGGTTCTCTGTAAATTTCAGGGACATCTGGCGCACAGTTTACTGCGCTTGCTAGCTCTGGTATTTGTAGATATGCTCGCACTCTCTGCTGCGTGTGCATGTTAACACTCCACATACATAATTTATGCATGCATAATTTGGGACTTGAGTGTCTAGGTTTATTTTGACATTTAAGGCTAACTACACAGTGCAGATCCTAGGTAATTACTCAATAAATATTTATGAAAAGAACGAATGCACCAAGAAGACACAGATAGGCAACTGTCGTTCCTTCATCCGACACTTGAATGTCTGGTAGGCACGAGGCACTGTGCTAGGTGCTGTGTTCAGCGATGAATACCTACAGCCCTGCCCTCAGGGGGCTCTCAACTGAGGGACGTGGGGCAAACACAGACAGGCAATTATAAGGCAAGGAGACCCTGTGACAGAGCCCTGTGCCTGGCAGCATGGAGCTCCAAGGAGGGAGAACTCTGTTCAGCTAAGCAAGGGACTGAGGTCTTGGAGGGTGTCCTGGGGTGAGGGACACACAAGGTTCCAGACCAAGAGGACAGCACAATCCACAGCAGGAGGCCAGATATGAAAGGGGAGCTCAGGAAGGCAGTGAGGCAGGGAGCTAGCGGAGGTGAGATGGGGACTCTGCAGGGAATGCACCTGGGGGCCTTAGAATAGGGCAAAAGAGGGGAGCCCCAACTCTCTCAATTTGGGCAAGCAAATGAGCAACTCCTTCATTTGTCCAAAATGCTTCTGGATTCCTCCAGAATTTACACACACACACACACACACACACACACACCTCAAAGCAGAATCTGGACTGCCTCAGGAGCCCTGCTGAAGTGCAGGGAGGAGACCTGAGGGGTGCCTGGAACCAGTCATGTACCAGTGGGGTGCACTGAGCAAGGAGTGAATCTGAGCAAGTGAAGGTAGACTACGAGGGCTCTGTGATTCCTCCTGGCTTTTACAATCCACATTGCTGGGACTGTGGGGCTCACATATCGTCCACACCCAGGCCTGTCTGTCTGCACACCACAGGGTTCTAAAGGAGTCAGTCTAGTTCCAAGCAGCATCTAGTGTCAAGCATCACTGTCTTTCAGGGAGGAGGCAGCTGGGCATGGAGAGGTGCAATTTCCTAGGACTCCTTAGGAAGTACCCACAGGAACGTACGGCATGATGCAGACACTCACCACTCCCAACCTGGGTCAGGGTCTCATGATCTTGTGTCTGAATAAGCACCAGTTAGTTCACAGAACCGGTCTCTGCTAGATTTACCTTCTCTAAATCTTGCATCCTTTCTGCTTAAAAATCTTACTTTACTTCTAGAACCAAGTCCAATATCCTCAGAGGGGAAACTAAAGTCATTCCCAATCTGCTGGCCACAACCCTCACTTCCGCCATGTGGGGCACCTGGACACTGCATCCATGAATGCTCCCTCAACTCAAATTCAAAGTCCATCTCCTTTAGGGCTGCTGTCTGGTTACCCATCCTTTTCCTGAGCAGCACTTACTGACCATGTCTTTCATGGAGTGGTTGATATTTTGTTTCTCCAGCTTATTTCTAAGCCACAGAGCATAGGAACCAAGCTGCACCCATCTTTGTAGCCTATGAACCTCGCACAGGGTCCCACACAAGGTAAATATTTGCTGGCAAGTGGGTTTTCGACCCTGTCGCCTCTTGGAGAGCATTGAATAAAATCCATGGAAAGTTTGACGATGGTTATCATGGTTCTCTTTCCCTCCTCCTCATCAGAAGCCTGCAGCCTAAAGGACTTTTTTGTTCCCCCTCCCTCTTCTTGAGAAAGTGGGAACCTTGGAGAGAGCGGTTTSCTGTGATGGTTTTGGAAAAAGGAGAATACGAAGCATCTCTCCCACGAGCCATCAACAGTATTTCACATGCGTTTCTTGGGAGCTTCAAGTTCATCCAAGAATGAGCTTCTTCACAGATCAAAAGGAGCCTACGAGCAATCCACCACGGGGACACCCACGGTGCTAAGTTTACAGGCAGAACCATGGCCCGCGCCAGCCTGCAAGCAGGAATGGCTTCGCCCCACGTGGCTGCAGAGAAACCCCAGTGACTGACTTAATTTCTGGGCCCCAATGTTCAGTTTTCGTGGTACGTGTGCCAGTGAGCAGCACTCGGAATTTTTCACAAAAGAGGAACTGGCATTAAATCAATAAGGAAAGTCACCATTTCCTCCCTGGCCCGACGGCATTTAAGGAAGCAGAGCTCTGCCAACATGTACAACTGTGCGGAATTTGTAACTGGGCAGTTGAAGCCATCAGCTAAGCTGGCAGCCGTGATTTTTTCCCGAAGTAGAGCCGCAGGGAGAAAGAGAACGTCTAAACTTCAGCTTCATTTTTGCAAATTGGATCTTTTGGTGAAAAACTGTTTTAAACTCAGGTTTGTTTGTTGTTGGTGTTTTGTTTTTCCCCTTTTCTTCCCTAATTACTGAAATAAATGACTGTTTCCTTTTTGCCCAYGTGGAAATTCATTCATTTACTCAACAAGTATGATTGAGCCTCTACCAGGAGTCAAGCATGGTTTTAGGTGCTGGGGATGCAGCTGGGGACAAGAATCAAAGTCCCTGACCTCAAGGAGCATGTGTATGTGTGTGTGGGGGGGATAAATAAATACACACTCCATCAGCMTAGATGACTGAAATACCATCAACATGTTGCATTTTAAAACTTAATGTCAGAAAATTAAAAATTAAGAATCTTACTWGAATGTTAGCTTAGCTTAGCTTGTATGTGTCACATGTACTAAGGGGTATTTTAAAAGGAATAGTTAGAAATAATACTGCTCTTGGCACATGAAGCTGACCTTCCCTCTGACCTTCAGTAGGCTATGTGTCTTCAAGGTGTGTTTCTGGGAGATGGATTTGTGCCCACTTGTATTTGCTCACCATTAGAGCACAAGATGGTAGGACACTGACACCAGAAATTGGGAATTCCTTCTGGAATCCACCCTATCTTTTCTTCCTTTCCCAAATCTGGCATTCCATGCTAATAAGAGACTCATTAAATTAAACACTATATTTTTAAAATTAATTAATTGATTATATATATATTTTTTTGTGCTGAGGATTTAACTCAAGGTTGCTCCATCATTGAAATATTTCCCCAGCCCCCCTTTTTCATTTTTTATTGTTTTTTTTTATTGTTGGTYGTTCAAAACATTACATCTAACTTGATATATCATATTTCACAGTTTGATTCAAAAGGGTTATGAACTCCCATTTTTACCCCGTATACCTTTTTTCATTTTTTATTTTGAGACTGAGTCTAAGTTGCTAAGGCAGGCCTCCAACTGGCAATTCTGCYTCAGCCTCCCAAGTCTCTGGGATGACAGGCATGTAGCCACTGCACCAGGCTAAACACTGCCTTTTAAATTTACCTTAAATGGATGTCCTTCTTTCCCTCACCCCTTCCTGTGGGCAGACTTGGTAATCTCTCTCCAGGGCCCCAACACCCAATTTCTCTTCCTTGACTCTAGGCTCAAACACCCCCTGTCCTCTCCCCCATCGATTCCAGGGTGCTCTGTGTAAAACAGATTGCATCAGGCCACACCTCTGCTTCCACTCCCTCCTGCTCCAAGCCTTCTTGGTCTGGCCCTGGCTACCTGGGTAGCATGTGTCTCTGGGCCTCTTCTGGACCCTGGGCCTCAGACACACCAGCCCCACTCACATAAGTTCACTAGGCCGGAGGACCTAGGAAGTGACCCTAGGTGTTTCTTCTTCCTCAAGTGCCCTCCTCTCTTTCCCCCTACTTCTAAAAGTCCTTTAATGTGGCTCCACCATCCTCTTATCTATGAAGCCTTCCCTGACCTTAATCCCCCTTCTTCTTCCCTTGGATGTCCTGCCTCACCGAATCTAGTGGGAGGACACTTGCAATGATTTGTTGACATTCATGTCCTCGTTCCCAGGTTATAAGCTCCTCTAAGTAAACAGTATCTTATTTGTAATCTTGGAGCATAGCACAATGCCTGGCATACAGCAGGTACTCAATAATGTTCAATGAATGAATGATCTATGGTCTCTTCTGGTTTGGCTCATGCCAAATAACACATCTGAGACCTAGGTAGCTATAGCAATATGACAGAGTTTCACCAGCTGACCAATATGGTAAGTAAAGAGCTGACCAATATGGTAAGTAAAGAGCTGACCAATATGGTAAGTAAAGAGCTCAACTTTGCTCTCAGTAAGAGTGAGTTTTAGGGGCTGGGGATGTGGCTCAGGCGGTAGCGCGCTCGCCTGGCATGCGTGCGGCCCGGGTTCGATCCTCAGCACCACATACCAACAAAGATGTTGTGTCCGCCAATAACTAAAAAATAAAATCTCTCTCTCTCTCTCTCTCCCTCTCTCTCTCCCTCTTAAAAAAAAAAAAAAAAAGAATCTCCTCCGTGTTTCAACATCCTTCTGACTTTATGTTTCGCCATCCTCAATATAAAGGATGCCTCTAGGGGCTGGGGATGTGGCTCAAGCGGTAGCGTGCTCCCTGGCATGCGTGCGGCCCAGGTTCGATCCTCAGCCCACATACCAACAAAGATGTTGTGTCTGCCAAAAACTGAAAAATAAATATTAAAAAATTCTCTCTCTCTCTAAAAAAAAAAAAAAAAAAAAGAGTGAGTTTTAAACATTTGTGCTCATGGGCCACAGAGGATAAGGAATTTCAAAGTCACATTTTCTTTGACAACATTTCTCTGTGTATTGCATCTGTAGCTGGTTGAGAAGTTCAAATAAATGAATAAAGCATGTAAAACAGACCCATTAAGGAATCTAGATCATTTACTGCAGGAAAGAAACTTGGAGGGACTTAATAATGGTTTTTAATGAAAGGAAAGATCGTACTTCAAGGATGGC